ACTGGCAGAGGCCAGTGAGTGAGCCCTCTGGGAGATGAGCCGAGCCCCTGCCACCCCATGGAGAGGACAGCCTGGCTGGGGCAGGCCAGGCTCCTGCTGGCTGTTCCTGCCCACTCCTCAAATTTTAGGGCCGTGTGGGACCTGACCCAGGCTTGTCTGAGCGAAGGGAAACTCATAAGTCATTTGAGAAGGTGAAAAGGGCTGTCTTCCTCCCTTACTCTGCCCCCTCCCTGTTCCCACCCTTCACTTGTCACTGGTCAGCTGGACTGCAGGGCAGCCACAGGCTTGGGGTGAGTCCCAGCCCTGCATGAAGGACCATGTCAGATGCAGCAGGGGCCAGAAGCGGCCTGGGGAGGCAGGCTGAGTGTGGGCGGACGGGACCCAGGGGCAGGGCCAGAGTCCAGGCTCACGGGTCACCAGCAGACTGGCAGCTTGGCAGCCCTGGCCCTGGGGTGGCAGGTCCTGCTCTGGCACGACAACAAGAAACCAAGATGGGCAATTTTGTCTGGGAAGTCAGGACCTCCTGAGTTTGTAGGCTTAGGAGGCAGAGATTAAGAAATTAAATCAAAGAGACAGAAAGGGCCACATAAACCAGAGACTTCATCAGCCTGAGACCAGAAGAACTAGATGGTGCCTGGCTACCACCAGTGACCGCCCTGACAGGGAGCACAACAGAGAGTCCTGGATAGAGCAGGAGAAAGGTGGGGTGCAGAACTCAAATTCTAGTAAGAAGACCAGACTTAATGGTCTGACTGAGACTGGAAGAAGCCCGGAAAGCATGGTCCCTGGATTCTGTATCAGCCAAGAACTAAAACAATTTCCAAGGCCAACTCTTCAGACAGGGATTGGACTGGACTGTGGGACATACAATGATACTCGTGAGGAGTGTGCTTCTTAGCTCAAGTAGATACATGAGACTAAATGGGCAGCTCCTGTCCGGAGGTGAGACGAGAAGGCAGAGAGGGTCAGGAGCTGGCTGAATGGACACAGGAAATCGGGGGTGGAAAGGAGGAGTGTGCTGTCACAGTATAGGGAAAGCAACTAGGGTCACATAACAATGTGTGTATACATTTTCGTATGGGAGACTAACTTGAAATGTAAACTTTCACTTAAACTATAACAATAAACAAAGAAAAAGAAAGAAATTAAATTGATCTCATGTGATAAGGGAGGGAATTATTCTGATTAGCATTTTTCTGAAGTGTGCTCTTCAAAACATGTGATATTAGCTGCTCTGTGGGAAAAAAGGGACAGGGCACCAAATGTTTTGGGGAAATGTGGAGCATGTAATAGTCATGCAAATACAAGCAGGGTGAGTTCAGTCATTGCAGGACTTTTCCAGTGTTTCATAGGGCAAACGGGCAGGATACATCTCCATGGCCGCCAAAGGGGCAAAAAGCCCCAAACTTACTTGACCGTTGTCCTGAATGATCTCAAGGGATTATCGTTCCACAGGACGCCATTTTGGAAAACGCTGTACTGGCCCCTTTCCCTAAGCCCCTTTTCAGCTCTAAAATGGTTTGAGAAATCATGAGACGGAGGCCAGAAGAGCAGAGAAATGTAAGACTCAGAGGGAAAAGGCTGCAAGAGGAAGACAGAGAGAGGGTGAAATCCCTGAGGCAGGAAACAGGGCTCAAGACAGGAGGCGGGGCCCGGACAGAAGTCTAGGCCGGAGGGTCTTCAGGATGTGGGTGGCAGGGGCACTGGGAGAGGAGGCTGCGCAGACCCAAGGGGAGCAGTAGGGCAGGACTGGGGCTGTGGAGAAGGCCACGTGCACACGTCCCTCCCAGCCCAGCACTCTGCGCCCAGTGGGTGCTCCCAGGACGTGGCTCAGTCGGTTGGTAGTTGTGGGGGCTTGGAGCAGGGTAACCGGTCTCAGGCTCCCTCAGGCCAGGGTGTTTGTGGAGGGGGCAGGAGGCAAAAGGCGGGGTCCTGCCCCAGGGCCAAGGCTGCAGGACGGGGCTGTAAGCCTCCTAGTCTATAGCATGGGTTGAGGGGTGCATCCAAGCAAGAAGTCCAGGGCATCTCCCTGGGGAGCTGAGAGTGCTGTCCCTCCCACCTCTGCAGTGCCTCTGCCTTCCTCCCGCCTCCCTCCAGCACCAGTGGGGCTTCTCTTAGGGCAGGGGGCATGATGACACTGGGGCATGGAAGCCTGGTCTGGGCCTTCTGCACAGCGCCCACTAGGCCAGACTCAGGCCTCCCCTCCTCCCCAGAAGCTGCAGCCCCAACAGCAGGACCAGCCCCCAGACAAGCACAATGGCTTTAACATACGTTGGTATGTGGCTTGGGACAAAGGCAGATGCCAGGCCGTGTTGCAATTACAAATGTTGAGTGTTGTTATTGCGGAAAAAGGAGCACAGCTGCCTACGTGCTCAGCTGCCCTCTGCCAGCACTTTTTTTTTTTTTCTGGCTCAAGATCCTCAAGTTCCAAGGTCAGTCTCACAAGCCCGCAGGGCAGAGTTTTCCTAATTTAATGAGCAATCCTAGCTTCAGAGACAAAGCCCTCTCTAACTCCTGCCTTGCCCTGATACTCACCTCCCTCCCTTCTAGAAAATACCACCCAGGGTGGCCTTCTCCCTCCTGGGATGAATGGGAAGGGTCTTCATTTCCAGCTCATGAAGATGGCATCAGTCAATTTTGTACAGATATGATAAAAATATAATTATGTTGGTGTAAATAGTCACTTTTTGTGCAGTTTCTGCACGGGAGACCTCTGTGTTTCCCTCACCAGGGAGGCAGGGGTGGTCATGACAATAAAAATAACGATAACAATTACGAGAAATGTTTGATGAAACAGAGAAACCCCAAGGCCCATCTCCACATATGCATACAAAAATAGAATTCACACATACTCGCACACCGAGTGCATCTCCAGGAGTTAATCACACACAGTACCACGGAAGGAGGGGGGTGGGGCAGAAGCTGTCCGTATTTTTCCAAGTGCAGGTGATCATCATTTAGGGTTCTGTGCCCCTTCTCCCTCCTTTTTCCAGGAAAGTTTCCCCAGAGGACCCTGCTTGCAGGGAACCTGCCAAGCCTGGGCCTAAAGGTCACTGAAGTGCTGGCCATTTCTTTCCGGCTTCCCTGGGGTCGGAGGACCGAGCTGCTGAGGCTTGACAGCCTTACCTGGGCTCTTCAGGCTCTCTCTCCTCCCCCTCTTCCCTGACGCTATCTCCCCCTCCCTTCTTCCTTCCATTCCCCCACTCCTCTTCTCCGGCCTGCTTTCACCTGCTGGCATCAGCCCAGGCAGGAAGGATTCTAAAGTGTTGCCAGGTTAACCTCAGTGCTTTTGGTTCACTTCCTGTGCAATCAAAGGGGAGGAGCCCTGGTAGCGCAATGGCTGCTAACTGAAAGGTTGGTGGTTCAAACTCACTCAGCAGCTCCACGGGGGAAAGACCTGGCAATCTGCTTCCACAAAGATTATAGCCTAGAAAACCCTACGGGGCACTCCTACTCTGTCACTATGCAGTGCACCCAACAACACAATCGAAAGGGAGAAGGGGCTATTTCAGATCCTGAGGGGGCATAAAACCCAAGACAGTGGCAGTCTGGGTTTGAGTTTCAGTGAAGCAGGAAGCCCTGTCTTGCTTTTTATTGTCTTTTCCCCCTCCTTTCTCGTCTTGGCTTCTTTTCATGGAGGGAATCTCAAACGCGATGCCCTTGTCTCCCTCCCGTCGGTTTTGTGCGTCACTGACTTGCTCACGTGCAGGCTGGGAACAGCTTTTCATTTAGTCTTCCTCCTCCATACTCCCAGCCCCGCAGATGTAGGACTGAGAACGGCAAAAACACCTCCCCTCCGCCCCAGGCAGAATGTGACCTGGCACCAAGCCTCGCCCCAACAGCCAGCAGGACTTACAGTTCTTAGCAGCTTTTTTTTCCTGCATTTTTTTTCCCCCGTAAAAGAGAAAAGTCTTTGTAAATGAACCATCCATGCCCAACCCTAGTTAGCAGAAATTGGAGATTCCAGCAAACGTCTCCCCGGAGGCTCCTGAGCTAATTGGTGCCACCTTGAGTTCTGGCGATGCCTCCTCTTGGCTCTCCTGGCCCATCCTAAGGGTCTCTCACCCTCTCTCCATCTCAAGGGCCTCTCAGTCCTCTGTGACCCTGGGCAAGGCCCCCACTCCTGCTGTTGACACTGGCTGCATCTTCCATGGGCTCCATGTCCCACCTTCCGGGGTACCTGCATTGCCCTGGGAGAGATATTTCCCCAGCTCCTCTCTAGTCTAGGTGGGGGAGGACATTGTCCCAGAACCCACCTTCCCCTGCTCATCATCGTACATGGAAGCCCTAGGGCGTCACTGGTTGGGGGGGGGGTCCTGTCAGGAGGTGTGGGCCTCTCAGGAAACCTGGCCAGACAGCTCAGGGCCTGGGGAAGGAAGTCAGGCTGTAAGACCCCTTCCCTGGTTTATGAAGTGGGGTCCGAGGCCGGGAACACCCCCAGGTCCCAGGAAGTCTATACTTCTGTGATTCTGAGATGGAGAAGAGACGGTAGGCAGTGACAGAGGGCCACCAAGATATCAAGACATAAAAGGGAGGGTCTCGCTGCTCCACCTTCTCAGCACCTCCACTTTCTCTCCCTAGTGGCCCTTCTCCCAGAGGGGGCCCCACCTCGGCCAGGCTCTTCTTAACAGGTGTTGGCTTGGAGGCCGTTTCTACCCTCCTCTGGCTGCCTGCAGGCCCTTGCCCAGAACCCTCCTCAGACACACCCACTCAACCACTCTGAGGGTCACTCAGAATGGCCATTGTTCTCCAGGCTGGGAAAGAACTACCCAGCCCTCTCGCCTCTGGGCATGACCGGAAATGTGCTCCAGAAGCCAGGCCATCTCTAAGAACAAATGACAGGTCCCTTGGGACTGCCAGCGGCCAGAGGGTGCTGGCTCAGTCGGCCTGGGACAGGGAGTGCAGGAGGGCAAGGAACAGACCTCAAACACAGGGCCCCTCCCTCAGGCCCCAGGCTTTTCTGTGGGCTGCTGGTGGGGGTGTGGGGGAAGAGATTCCAATCTCTAAGAGGCAGTCAGGGGTCCTGGCCCTCTGCCCCAGCTGGGTGGGTGGGAGACGCTGGGGAATGCTGCTGCCCCCACCTTGGCCACCCCTCCCCGCCCTCCCCTATGTGGCCTCCACCTCCCGGGGCGTCCGGTTGTGCTCGGCCTGGGCCCAGCTCTTCACTTTCTTGCCCAGCTCCAGCCCTGCCCAGCTCTTGCCCTTGGACAGTTTGCCCCGGCTCCGAGAGGCTCCCGAGGGCTCCCCGCTGCCCCGGCACCACATGCGCTCACAGTACTCGTCCACACGGGGCAGGTTGGCGAAGCCGATGAGCTGCAGGATGTCCTTGTACCAAGCCTTGGGTGGGGTGGAGGCCAGGCCACCCTGCACCGGAAGCTCCTCCGGCTTCGGCTCCCGAGGGAACAGGCTGTGCAGCTGCGTGGCTGCAATCACCTCCAGAGCCAGGCGGACCACCGTCTGTGAGAAGCCGTGCTCCAGCGTGGAGCAGGAGTAGGTGCCCGTGTCGAGGCGGCTGAGCCTGCGGAACAGCAGCCCCTGCTCCACCTGCAGGATTCGCTCGTCAGTCTTCACCTGCAGGGCAGGAAAGCATGAGGGGGCAAGGGGCAGAGTGCACCCCACCACCTCTCCGCCCTCTGCTTTTCCAAGTTTGTCATCCTCGGGAACCAGTGCTTGGGCACGTTCCCTCACCCCCTCTCCCCATCCCAAGAGGGGACCAACAGCCTGTTCCCAGTGGCCCCTCTAGACCGTGAGCTAATTGCAGGCAGGGCCTCACCTTCTTCCGTAGCCCAGGAAAGGGCCTGCAAACACAGGCAGTGCAAAGGTTTAACTGACTGGTTTCTCCCCTGTCACAGCTCTGGGGCTCCTATCTTGACCTTGGAGGCCCTGGCACCCATTCCCGGGGGCAGAGGGGATATCTGTGGGCTTTTACCTGGGGGTGGAGCTGTGTCCTACCCCCAGGACTAGGCCTTAGAACTTCCCTCCAGCAACACACACACACACACACACACACACACACACGCATGCGGCAGCCTGCCCTGTCTTTGCGTGGTTCGGGCCACAGCGCAGGAGGCAGGAGTGGGGCTCTGACCGGCCCTCTCTGGCCAGGACCCTCTGTGGGCTTTAGTCTGGGCATCTGTGCACTGCAGGCTGTGCTGCCTGGGCGATGTGTGTTGCATAACTCCATCTCACAGCTCCTTCCCTGGGAGAATTCCCTGTGCCCAGCCCAACAGCTGGCCCAGGGCTGGCCTCCCCCAGTTCCCAAGCCGAGGGAGAGCCCTCCTGTAATCAACCCACTCCCTCCCCTCCCCTGCCCAAGGGAGCAGCAATAGCACGGCTCCTCGCCTGCCCCACCCACCCTGTCTTCAGGCCCCAGACTGAAGCCATCTCTGGAGTTGACAGATCTTTCCGGATGGGGGAGGAGAGGGCCTGGGCAGACAGCTGGACTCCGGGCAGGAAGTGTGGGCCCAGGCAGTGCATGTGTGTTTGGGAGGGGGGGGGCAGGGGGATAAGGACCAGAGGTCGGGGCCCATTCCTGGGGCAGAGAAGGACCAAGACCCCTTCAAAGATGAGCCAAGTATATAAGCATGGGGAGAGGGGGCTTCCTGGCCAGCCCAAACCCCCTTTTGTCTCCTCCATCTCTGCTAACCCTACCCACTTCTCAGAGCTCAGCTCTGTGCCTTGGGAAGTAGTAAGTTCCCTGTCACTGGAGGGATTCCAGCCACATGTGGCCTGGGCACTCCCAGATGGCAAGAACAGGGACATCTCCTTCTAGGTACCCCAAGGGTAATACACACTTTTCTTTGGTTGAGCTTGGCAAGTCCCCCCAAGAGCCCTCTGCTAGGGCTCAGGGCTTGGAGTCTCGGGGAGTATGCCCCCAGGAGGGTACAGGCTAGAAGTGGGGTCCTTGCTCACCTGGTCGGGCCCCTGGTCCCCCGGCCTCTGCAAGAACCAGCGCACGGCAGCCTGGGGAGATTTGGGTCGGCACTCCAGGAAGGTGCTATTGTGCTCCGTGCCGTAGACCATGGTGGCCGCCACCTGCTCTGCAGCCTCCTCTGGAGAGAGGCAGATTGGCTCAGCTCAAGAACTGTGGGACCCAGGCCCTGGGGGCCACAAACTGACTCCCACAGCTCAGGAGCCCCAACCAGTGTGACAGGGACCTTGGTGTCCATCCGATCCCTAAGCAAGTCACTCTGTCCGAAGACCTTTCACCCGTGCACTGGCAGCAGCTGCACAGGTAGGGAAACTGAGGACTGTTATTATAACAGGAACTGTCTGAGGCCACACTTCACAGAGGTCTGCGAGCCTGGAATGCTGGGGCCCGGCTTCCCCTCCCCTACCTATCCCCCTACCCAGTGTAAGCAGGGGCCTCCCTGAGCCTGCCACCACTCACCTTCCGGTCCCTGGCCCAGGCACTGCAGGGCAGGGTTGCCGTGCCGGATGTCCTGCCGTCGGAACCGGCGCTTGCTGGTGCCGGGCCGGTAGCGGGTGCAGGAGGCACCGTCCCAGGCGCAGTAGGGGTCGCGGGCCAGGCAGCACTCCGTGCAGGCGCTGCCGTAGGTCTCACACTGGTGCAGCCTCAGCCGAGCCACGCCCAGTCGCGAGCCCACGTACAGCGTTTGCTGATGAGGGGACACAAGCAGAGCCCGTGGGGACCCGGGCCTCACCCAGCGGCGGCCAGGGTCTCGGCACCCTCAGGCTTCCGGAGACCCCTGCCACGTGCGGGGAGACCCCTGCCACGTGCAGAACCTCTCGGATTCTTTCCCAGAACCAGCACATGTGTATCACCCCTCTTCCAAGTGCCATGCCTTGAGGGGACGTCCCCAGAGGGGACGAGGCCGCCACCGTGTCTGTCCTCTAAGGGGCTTCTCCAGGCCCTCCCTGGGCTCACCCCTTGTCTGAGCGCAGAGGGGACCTTTGCCCCCTGCCCTGTGGCCTTTCTCCTGATGTGCCTCTGGCCTCACAGGCGCAGCCTGCTCTGAGCAACCCTAGTGCAGAAGCTGGGATTTGCCCAAAGATAAACTGGAGCCGATAAACCTGGGGAGACAGTACCGGCCCCTAACAAAACGATGCACAGCAGGCCTCTAAAGAGCCAGCTCCACGGTTTGATTTAAAATCAGATTTGGTTGTCAAGCACGTTCTTGCCTCCCATGAGGGACTGGCCTGTGCAGCTCCCCTGTCATCTGAGCACGATGTCACCTCCACCTCACCTACCCTTGCCTCCCGTGGCCACCAGCCTCACACGTGGGCTCTGGACCCTTACTGCAGGGCCCCAGAGCAGCGACCCAGGGCCTGAGCAGCCTTCCCAGGCTTCACGCAGACAGCAGGTGCTTGAGGAGGCTGAGGGGGCAGCAGTGGGGAGGGGGCAGGGGCGGGGAAGGGGCAGCGGCGGGGAGGGGGCAGGGGTGGGGAGGGGGCAGCTGCCCCTCTTACCCTTTTGACAGAGATCTCCATCTCAGTGATAGGTGTTGGCACCTGGGGGAGGAGTAGGGTCACAGCATGGGGTGGGACCCTCCCCTGCATCCCCTGCTCTCAGCCTCCGCCACCCCTTTTGGTGGGAGCCACGCATCTCCCAGCCTGGGTCAGTCACGCTGGCAATGAAAACTGGTCTTTCCAGATGTCAGGTTTGTGAGAAAGCTCCTTCATCCTGGCTGGCCCCCAAGCAGACAGCTTGGCTGAAAGCACCAAGCTCTGGTGTCCCCTCCCACAGCCCCGCCCCCCAGCAATGAGGCAGCTGTCCCAAATTGCCCACCCCATGCACCAGAGGGCACCAACAGTCCCCCAAATACAGATTCCCCTCCCCCTGATGTCGGCAGTGGGGCCAACAGGACCCCTTGTGGACTTGGGGGCTCAGCCACTACCTCACCGAGACCTGAGGGGTGCTCACCTCGGCCATTCCTCCCTGGACACCCCAACTTTAAGCTCCCAGACTTGCTGCCCAGGCCCCACAGTCATTCAGAAATGAGTGCTTGCATTTTCACCCCCCACTGGCTACAAATGCATTAGAGATAGGGTGTCATCCTGAGCTCACCCCTGCTTCCCCATAGCCAGGCCTAGACCGGGGACGGAGCTTGGGGGACCCCTTCCACCAGCCACCCTGTTCACCTTAAACACCTGGAGCTCCTCCAGCACTACCTCCTCAGGCTCAGCCGAGTCCCCAGCCCGGAGGGCGATGACCTTGAGCACGGAGCCTGAGTCTGGGCAGGGGAGAGGGGTCAGAGGGAGAGGAAGGGGCAGCCTAGGCCGCACACCTCACCAGCCTGGCCACCCCCTGCTCAGCTCACCCACCAGTGCCCAGGAAGATGACGTCGTAGATCCCATCCTCTGCCTCCACGCGGTCCACCACGATTTGGCGCAGCTGCTGGGCCAGGTGGGTCTTGACGAGGACAGGACGGCCCTGCCGAGGCTTCACGGGCCGAAACATGAGCGGGTGGGCTCGGACAAACTGCAGCACCTCGTCCGGGTAGTCCTTGGTGCTGCCAAAGGGCCGTCCTGGCTGCGCCGTCATCTTGCTGGGGCACTATGGTCACGAGGGCATGCCTGAGCATCCTGGGTGGCTGTTCCCCATCCCAGCCTGCTTCTACCACCACCAACCTCCAGAGGATTGCCCCCACTGTAGGGGAGCCTCCTTAATGGGGCACAGGGTCTCTCCCTCTCCACACCCGGCCCCGGAGCCCCAGTTCACATGGACACAGGCCTGTTCCAACACATGGACACAGGCCTGTTCCAGGGGGGTGTCCCTCCTGGCATCTGTTCAGTCCCCTATTCCCTGGCCAGACTCCTGGCAGACACTCACTGCGCCTGGGCGGGGAAAGGGCACCTTGCCCCCGTAGGGCCCCCACTGGTGCTGGGGACTGTCCCGGTGTGCAAAAGGCCCATTGAAGACCTCCCAGATGTCAGCCATGTGGTACACGCAGACTGCAAAGCCCTGGAACACAGCACTGCTGGGGGCAAGCAGGGACAGTCAGGCCAGGGTGGCCATCACGGGCAGGAAGAGGCAGCCTGGCTCCATGAGCAGGGCAGAGGTGAAATGCCCGCAGTCAGCAGGGACTCCAAAAAACAAGGACAAAGAGCGGGGTATGAAGAAGGCAGCCACGGAGTCACCGAATCAGGGACAAAGCCAGGGGCTCAACTGGAGGCCGGGACGTGAGGGCAGAGGTGCAAGAGAGGGGCCGGCAGGGTGGAGTGGAGGGGAGGCAGGGCGGCCCACCTGACGGTGCTAAACAGCGCGTACACCTCCGGGTTCTTCCCTGCCTTGGGCCACAGCAGGAACACGTCCTCTGGAAGACACAGGGGCGCAGGAGTCACGGCCACCACCACTGCTCCCCACGGCCCTGATCCCTCCCCTCCAGCGCCCAGCCCTGCCCCAGCCATGCCCTTACCCAGCTGGTGGAAGTGGGTCTCAGCACCCCCGAGGCCGGGCACGGAGCAGAGCAGCCTGGCCTTGAGGAAAGTGCTCCACCGGTTCACCAGCACCCGCTGCCCCCCGGCGTCGTTCTGGTTGGGGCGGGCAGAGTCAGCCACGGGCAGCGCGAGCGGGCGTCCTCCCACACCCACCCTCACCCATGGTGGGAGAAGTGTGGGCATGGGCTTCACACCCCAGCCTCAGCTTCCCTGCTGCTGTGGAGGGGCACAGGCCTAGCAAGCGGGGTGCAGCTCTCACTCACCACACAGACTCGGCCCACGCAGCTGACAGTGACGTGGCCTGGGCCACCATCCGGTGAAGGGACAGTCTCCGAGAAGAAGAAGTACACCTTGTCATTGTCCTGGTCGGAGTTGTCGGGGATCCGTGCGGCTGCCACAAACCTGGGGTCTGGCAGGGTAACAGGGTGAAGCCAGGAAGAGGGGTCTCCCAGAGGAGGGCAGGGGGTTAAACCCAATGGGGGCAGGAAGAGGTGTGGAGACCCCCACTGGGGGCTGGAATCTCAGTGTAGAGGGGGCATGGGCCCCTGGGCTCACCATGCAGGAGGTTCTGGTCGGAGTCAGAACGCAGGGACGGCCGGGAACCCCCACTTCGGAAGATCATGGCCTCACGCCCCAGGAAGTCAGCGGTGAGGCCGGTGTACAGCTCCCCGCCTAGAGTGGGGGTGGGAGGCAGAGTCAGGGGAAGACAGCTGCCGGGGCCCACCCTCCCTGTGCCCACCCGGCCTGGGCATCACCCACCTACAAAGGTGCTGGCGAAGGGCCGGCTGGGCTCATGTGGGCTCCGGCCCCGCCCGCCCTGCAGGGTGCTGGGCTCCATGTGGAGCACGTGCTGGGGAGGAGGACGGGAGAGAGGGCAGGAGCGTCACCCGGGAAAGAAACGCCACCCCCCCACATATGCCCCAGGGCCTTGGCCATTGCGTGCAGCTGGAGAGTGGGGGGAGGGCAGACGGCACCCTCATTCCAGGCCCCACCAACGGGTCAGCTCCCCTACACAAAGACGCCTCTCAGGCCCCTGCTCCCCTCTGGCCCTACTGGAGGCCTTTGACCCCATGGCTCAATGGGAAGCTTTCAGGCATCGGGAGGAAATGTCACTGCTTCCCAGTCCCTGGCGGGCACCCCAGGCTCACCTCACCACGGTGCCCGACTGTGATGAGGGCACAGATGGGCTGGAAGGCCCCCGTGCCACATGCCAGCAGATGGGTCCGATTGTGGGGCTTCAGCACCCGCACAAAGTTGGCACACTCCGTCTAGCAGGGAGAGGGGGATGAGGCCGAGGAGCAGGGGTGCCCACCATCTCCTCAGCCCCCAGGCTCAGTCCTGCCTGGCTGATGGTCTTGGGGAAGCGTGGAGCGTGTCATTCTTCGCAGACCTTCCAAAGCCCTCAGGGCCGTCCCAAATGCTCCCAGCAGAGATACTGAGGGGAGCGGCCACAGGGCCTCCCAGGGTGTCAGGACTTGGGTGTCGGTCAGGGGTAGGGGGTGGCGGTCATGCCATCAGCACTCACCAAGGGATCCCTTCCTTTTCGGACACACTCCTCCCTCTGTCCTGGCTGTGGAGGCCACAGAACCTGAAACACAGCCTGGCTGACCTCAGGGAGCTCCCCTGACCTTGCAGCCTGTTTCCCCCATCCGGCCTCCCGCCAAGAGGTGCCCAGATGGGAGCCAGTCACTTGGAGGCTCTCAGACAGACCCTCTCTCTCCCTGGTGCCCTCTTGGTCGGCCCAGCTCACCTCCCGGGGGTCTGGCCATGCCTGGTCCAGCCGCAGAGAGTAGAGGGCGTCACGGCCCCCCAGAAAGAGGCGGTCCCGGTACTCATCCAGGTACATGGCCCGAAGGTCCAGGGAGCCCCGGGGGCCCAGAAAGACGGCAGAGCGGTTGGCAGACAGGAGGTCTGGGAGGGAGCAGAGGGAGGGGGTCAGGGCAACTGCTCAGCCTACTTCCTCAGCCAAGGGGTAGAGGTGGAGGTGGAGGTCTCCAGCTGTGCAATTACCACCCACACATACACATCTGGAAAATGTTTCCATCCACAGGACAGCTGGCGGGCTTTGAGGAAATGGCTCCTGGGGGCAGTGGAACAGGAGGCTCTGAGCCCCCGACTCAAGGCCTGTCCCAACCCCTCTATTCCTCAGTCAACTTCTCCTTCCCACAGTTCCACCTGTGCCCTCCCCAGTCCTGGTGGCGGAGATGGCCCCCCGACAGAAATTACAGCAGGAAGCTGAGCAAAGTGCAGGAAAACTGGAGAGAGTGACAGGCCTGGGGAGTGTCCCCAGCAAAGGGAATGCCCGCCAAACGCCTTGTGTGGGACAGAGCAGGTATGACCAGGCGGAGCTCCAGGCTGAGGTCCAGGGCTGTGGCCAAACATGATTTTCTCCCCCATAGGTGCTGCCCTCCCAGTCCCCACGATGGATGCTAGAGTGTCTGGCGACGCTGGTGCCAGGAGCCCAGGATCCCAATATGGGTCCTTGGAGTTTGGCTGGGGAGATGAAGGTGACGGGCAGAGAGGCGGGCAGGCAGCACAGTATGGCAGGAAGGGGGTGCTGGCCACCCTTGGGAAGTCCCCAGTGTATCCTATGCCTGCTCCACGGGAACATCCTCAGCCCAGCACCCACTCATTCCCAAAACTCATTAACACCCTCTTCCAGGAAGCCTTCCATGGCTGACAGCATCTTGGGGGGAACTTTCCTTAGACTTTTCCTTCTTGTAGCCTGACTGAACCACCCCCAACCATCCACCCACAAAAGAAAAACACAGATGCCACAGCAGGACCGCGTTCTGCCCAGACACCCCCTTAGACTCTTCAGGGTGGAGCCATGTCTCCCCCCTCAGACTCCCCAGGGCAAGCCTGTGTCCCCTCCCCTGAGTGGGGTTCCCAGGGGAAGACAATCACCCCTCTGGTTTCCTCAGGAAGAATCTTCTGGGAACCTATAGCTCAAGAACCTTTTCCCACGGACCATCTCCACAGATTAAGAGGAAGCCTGTGCTGGCTGCAGCACAACACACCGAGGTTAGATCTGTACAGGAACCTCCCAGGCCAGGATGGGCAAAAGGGGAGTCTGGAATCCTCCCTGGGCTGTGAAGAGCCTCCAGGATGGAGAGGGGATGGAAATGCCAACACGGGGAGGTGTGTGGTGTGATGTGGGCATGAGGGTGTACAATGACAATGACATCTGCCCACCAGGGCTGCAGGGACAGGGCTAGGGACCCCCTGCTGGGCAGCTTCTGAAGTTGGAGGCTCCTCCCCCACCCTGTGGCTTGGGATCTGAGGGGCAGGATTCTGCTAGGGCTCCCTACTGTCTGCCTTGTGCAAGAGCCCCAGCTCAGCCCAGAGACCTGCAGACTTGCCCTCTCCATCCCCCTCCCCACTCTCTCTGCCCCCCATCTACTGGGGTCTCTCAGGGTCTCCGTCTGTCTCCCTCCCTTTCTCAGCAGCCCCCCTGGGGTTTTCCCCCCTGCCTGTCTCTGTTCCCTTCCCGCCTCCCCGTCCTGTCTCCCAGCCCTCCTCCTGGGGCTCCTGCCTCTTGCCGCAGGAGCTCCCCCAGCTCTGACCATGAACTCCTTCCTGAGGGTTGTCCCGGGGCAACTCCAGCCACTCCACTGGCAGAACAGACGGGGCCGGACTGGCTGGGGCCCCACAGCTGGGGGTACACCGGCATCCACGGGCATGCACAGGAACGGGGCGCGCTAGCCGGTACCTTGGTAGGAGAGCCGCAGGCGGGGCATGCTGGGGCCGGGGCTACCCCCACAGAGCAGGAGGTACCCCAGGAGGCAGCAGACGGCCCAGGCCGAGAGGGCCATGCTGGGGGACCAACAGCACTGCCGCCGGCCTGCCCGCAGAGCCACCCTCCAGTCCGGCTGCTGGTTGCAGTTTGTTCTGTCGCCACAAGGACTGCCATTTATAAGGCGGCGGCTCCACCCCGTCCTGGAAGGCGGGAGGAGGCGGGAAGGAGGTGAGGGGCCGCCATCCACCTGCAGCTGCTCCCTCTACCTCCTTGGCTCTGCTGACGCCTTTGTGCTGGGTGGGCCGGTTCCTTACTGGGGGAGACTTTCCCAGATTGGGTGGGGGGTGGGGGGTTTGCACAGACGAATGTCCACGAACCCAGGTTCCCAGCTCCAGCAGAGTGACAAGAAGGGAGATAGCCTGGGAGGGGGTCAGAGGTCAGAGGTCAGAGGTTGATGGGCTGGGTGGGGGTCTGGCTGGGCTGTTTTGCTCCCTGTGCAGCCCTACCCTGCCAGTGCCCGTGTGCCGGAGACCCTCACAAATCGGCCCTGGGCCCGGATCCCCCATACCAGGGTGGTCCAGCCCCCTGAGACCTCAGCCAGGCCCCCTAGCCATCCAGGCAGGGCCCAAGCTACCTGGAGGAGGGCACTCCCTGCCCAAGGGGTGGATGTTCTGGGTGGGGCTGGATGTCTGGACACACTTCACAGATCTGGAATTGGCAAGTGATGGATGTCCAGCCCCCCTACCCAGGCCTATCCCCAACCCTCCAGGCCCCTCAGCCCTCCCCTAACACCTACCAAGTCCTATCCCTGTTCCTGGGCTGGCTTCAGGGCAGGGGCAGGGACAGGATCCACCCTTACCAAGAGGGATCATCTCTCTCCCCTCATCACCATTACCCCACCTCCTCAGCCCTCCAATCCTCCAAGAAATTCAGGGCCCAGAGTGTCACTGTGTGAGTGGTGGGTTCTCCCCAGAACCCCACTCAACAGGCTCTACACCTGTGAGCCCTCCTGTGCTGGGGCAGCTCCCCACATACTCCCTGTGCCCCGAGCTCGGATTGGGGGCCAGGAAAGCCACAGAAGAGGGCCAAGGGGGACACAAGGCTGAGGGGCTGATACCAGGGCAAGTGAAGGGGCCTCCTCCTTCCCCCCAACCTACAGCTTCCAGCAGCAGCCCCTACAGCGCCCGCCTGGCCCTCCTGCAACGGCCACCCCCACCCCCAGACTCCCACACTCAGAATCAGAGGCCCTGGGTGCTAAGAAAGTTTCAACTTGAGCTGGAGTTGGAGCTCCCAGGATTCTAGAAATCCCTGCAGGTTGGGCCTCCCAGATGGACCAGCCTGAGCCCTCAGGGGTCAGGAAATTGGGTAGGTGGGCATACTCAGAGAGGGCAGGACCTGGCCTAGGCCACACAGCAGGCTGAGGACAGGCCCAGCTCAGGCCTGCCGCTTCTTGAGGCCCTCCTTGGCTTCTGGGCTTATGGGGCACTGGACCCCCACCTCCCTTCTTCTTCCCATCTCTGGAAGGGAAACAGGTCAATCCTGGGGGCAGCATGAGAAGGGCTCAGGGTCCTGAAGCCCTGCTTGCTGTCCCCCTCTCCCCCTTAACCCACATACACACCTCCTCCCAGGAGAGCCCTGACCCGGACTGGTAAGGGCCTGGACTCAGCCTGCCCTGCTTCTGGCTCCGCTAGAGTGCCCTGGCCAAGGCCCCTCCCTCTCCAGGCCTCAGTCTCCTCCTTCCAGGGCCAGAGACTAGCTTCCTTGGGTGTGACAGGGCTTTATAAAGTGATGATCCATACTTGTGCAGGGGCTGTTATGATGGTGATTATATCCTGGGCCTACGGTGGGGTGAGGCCCCTCTGACTCAGTTTCCCTAGGGAGATATTTGGGCATGTAACCTGGGCTGGGGGCCAATTTCTGCATGGAGATTGGGTGGCGCTGCTGCTCAGCTAGCATGTGGCCACCAGCTGTGGGCAGGAGGCCCAATCACTCCTCAGCCTGTGAATCCACCCTGGGGGGTCTCAGCTCAGCTAGGCCCCCCACTGGGGCTGCAGGGGAGGCCTGGGTCCTTCGGCGCAGGGCGTGGGGGGCAGCCCATTCTCCACTGCGTGGGGACAGCCTGTAGCGAGGGCTGGGGGGCCCGTACTCTAGTACTGACTTGTTGTATGTCCTCAGGCAGGTCCTCTTCCTCTCTGGACCTCTGTTTCCCAGTCTAGGAAAGGGGTGAGGATCCTCTCTAAAGTCCCCTGCTTGCTGGCTGCAGATGGAAACAGACCCCAAGGATGCCCTGATTCCTAGGCCCGAGAGGCCCAGCCACAGGTGTTTTCTGCCATCTAGTGGACAAAGTGATAACTGCAGAAGGCCCCAGAGCTGCCGGCTTTTGTCAGGCCTTGTGCTGGGCAGCAGAGGTACCCAGCAGAAACTGCAGCATCTTGAGGCGGCAGAGAACAGGCAACCATAACACTAAGAGGCAAGGGTGGTTGGAGATGCTCCAATGATTGTCTCTGATGGAGGAAATCAAGGGAGGCTTCATGGTGGAGGCACTATCCAGGCAAAGGATGACACAGCTCATAAAATGAAGAGGGACTGAGTCCAACAGAACAGGCAGAACTGGGTGATGCATGAAGGGGAGAGAAATGCCCTTGTGAACACTTGGCCATACACATGGTGCCATGCGTGTTCGTGCAACACGTCCCACCAGGTAGGTACGTGGAGGGTCACCCCCAGCCTCTCCCAGCTGGAATTTTGGGGTTGGCCTGCCTGGAAGGAAGGAATGGATGCCTCCAGCCCCTCATTGCTGGAACAGAGACATTGAGACAATCCCCTGGGGCTCCATCATGTGAACCCTCAGCTGCTTCCTGAGAACGAGCCCTTCCCTCACAGCTCCTACTGAAAGGAGCTGTGTGGAAATTTTACATTTATTGCTTATTGCCAGCCGTATAGATAGGCCTAGCTTCCTGAGTATTGTGGTATTGTCAATGCCTAGCTTGCAGAGTTCACTTTTGCATGCTCCTAGGATTTTGATGTATTTTCCTCCTAGCCTCCCTCTTGCTTTCCCATGATTTCAAAGTTTAAGTTTAACCTAAGTTTCTCTCTGAGAGGTAGAACGACCTTGGAGGGTGGCAGAACACATTGATAACCCTCAAGGACTAGGATTAGCTCATCTGCGACGTGACAATCGTGACTAACGGTGCCAGATGACCTCCGAGGATTGCCAGTAAGAAGTTAGATCATCTGGGGCGTGCAGAATGTGACCACCGGAAGAGAAACTATAATCCTGTCCATAGAAAAACTTTCAGCCAGACTCCAGTGGAGGAGACAGGTCTTTAGGAGGAGCTCATTCCTCTCTCTCTCGTATATCGACACACAATGAAACACTCTTGCTGCCCACCTCACCCCTGTCTCAGTATTGGCTTCTATGGCAGGTGGCTCAGACCCGCCATTGCGGTAAAAATTTTGGCACCCAACTTGGGGCTCTCCAGCCACTTGAGATGTGGTGGCCTTGGGGCCGGCCCGGGATTGTCTGGCTGGCTCCCTGAACAGCCAGCTACAAGAGGCTCCCTTTGCCTCCAGGGAGCTGCCGACGGCACTGAGGTCCACCGTGGCACTACCAGTCCCCAACCGCGCCAGACGGAGGTGAGTCAGAATGAAGCAAGACTGAGGTGAGTCTGCCATTCCTCTCCCTGTTGCACTCAGGGCCAGGGTGGATAGAGCAGGGCTCAAGGTTTCCAAAATGGGACCTGAGCCCTTGGTACCTGAGGCAGGAGGAGCCTCAGATGACTGATCCCCGTGAGTAGGGATCGCAGAAAAGGACTCTTGTTGACTCCGGAGTCTTGGTCTTGAGTGTGTGAGTGCTCGTGAGTGTGTCTGGGAGGTTGAGACCACTAAGATCACCTCTGTCGGCAGGGCTGTCTGAGTGGTTGAAGGGATCGAGGGCACCTCCAGCAGCTTTCAGGATTCATTCGTTTACTGTGGTTCTGTGTCTGTCCTGTCCATTGTCTACGTGTACCTAGTCTTATACCATCTACTTGGGTGCCATCTGACGGCGATTAGAGCTAACCCTGGCCGAATCTTGTTATCTCCGTAAGGTCTCTTCCGCCGAAGATCTTAACAAGTGGTGGGTAAATTGTTGGGAGTGCCCTGGATCTCTGCTTTACCGGGGGGTCTCTAGTCATCTCACCCATCACCCGCTGAAATCTCACCGCCTTCTTGTCGGCCAAACTTACTGTCTTCTCTTTTATTTCCTTCACTTTGTGTCACGGTGTCTGGGCCGCACCCACCAGAAACAGAAATGGGACTGTGTCCCCAACCTTCAGGACTTAGCCCTAGTGGGAATTTTAGTGGCCTTAAGCTGGACCTATAGGGAGGCTGAGTACCAGACGGATCAGGAGAATAACCTCATCATAGCCCAAAACCAGCACACCCATCCCTCTCTTGGGCCACTCATTACAGGAGATAAGAGGTATAAACTGAGGAGGGCAAGGTGAGGACATGGGGAATCAGCCTAGTATTCCCAAGGATTCCCCTCTAGGATACATTTTGGCCAACTGGAAAAGGTATAGCTATGAGCCTATAACAAAAAAGAAAATGATATTTCTGTGTAATGATGCCTGGCCCCAATACTGGCTAGGGGATCAGGAGGCTTGGCCCTGGAATGGGGTCAATGTCTTATAATACAATTTTGCGACTTGATTTGTTTTGTAGAAGGGAAAAGAAATGGGACGAGGTCCCATATGTCCAGGCCTTCATGTCTCTCTATCAGATCTTAAACCCCTCTAACCAAGTACTCTTCCAAGGGAAATCTAAGGTAAAGGTGCTTCCAGAATCCTCAGTAGAGGACCCTTTGTTGAAAGGACTAGTCCTGGTACCTGCCTCGGCCCCCCCACCCCAGTATGGGGGTGGTGCGGGTGCGGCCGACAGGACAGGGACAGAAGGAACGGAATGGGACTCCAGCACAAGAGGAGAAGAGGAGGCTGACAACGGTGCAACTGCCTCGACTTCAGGTATGGTCTCTCCCTCTTATACCCATTGGGGTACGGTTTTCGGTAAGGGTGCTGCCGAGGCTCAGGCAGGACA